CTAGTGAGGATAATAGGAAGGTGCACAAACTCTGGCAGGCTAAGTGTAAAAACAGAATAAGGCACAACAAGAAAGAATTTGAGAAGCGACTTCCTAGAGATGTAAAAATTAATAGTAAGAATTCTTTTAAGAACACAAGAAGCAGGAAGACTGCTGAAGAAATAGTAGAGCCACTAGCTAACCAAGGTGTCAAAGGAGCACTCAAGGAAGACAAGGCCATTGTAGGGACACTAAATGAATTCTTCCCATCAGTCTTCACTGCAGAGGATGTAGGGTAGATACCCACATCAGAGATATCCTTTTAGGCGATAAACCTGAAGTACTGTCCCACACAGATGTGTCAATAAAAGAGGGTTTAGAACAAATTAGTAAATTAAACAGTATAAAAGTCACCCGGACCAGATGTTATTCATCGAGGAGTTTTGAAGGATCTCAAATATGAAATTACAGAAACACTAACTGTAATATGTAATCTATTGCTGAACAAGCATATGTACCATATGACTGGAAGGAAGCTAATGCGATGCTGATTTTTAGAAAGGGTTCCAGAAGCGATCATGGCAATTACACCCTGGTGAGCTTATATTCAGTATCAGGCAAATTACTAAAATCTATAGTAAAGAACAGAATGATCAGACACATAGATACACACGATTTGTTGGGGAACAGTCAACGTGACTTTTGTAAAATGAAGTCATGCCTCACCAATCAATTGGAATTCCTTGTGGGTGTCAACAAACACATCAACAAAGGTAATCCAGTCAATATAGCATACTTCGATTTTCAGAAAGCCTTTGACAAGGTCCCTCACCAAAGGTTCTTAAGCAAAGTAAGAAGCCATGGGATAAGAGGAAGGGTTCTCTCACGGATCAGTCACTGGTTAAAAAATAGGAAACAAATCATAGGACCATCATAAATTGTCAGTTTTCACAGTGGGGAGAGGTAAATAGCAGGGTCCCCCAAGGATCTGTTCTGAGACCAGTTCTATTCATCATATTCTAAAATGATCTGGAAAAAGTGGCGAACGGTGAGGTGGCAAAGTTTGCAGATACAAAATTACTCAGGACAGTCACATGTAAAGCAGACTGCAAAGAGTTACAAAGGGATCTCATAACTGGGTGATGGGGCAACAAAACTGCACATGAAATTAATCGTTCGTAAGTGCAATGTAAAGTACATTGGAAAAAATAATCCCAACTACATGTATATAATGATGGGCTCTAAATAAGAGATGAGAGAAGTTACTCACCTTGTGCAGTTACTGAGATACTTTCAGATGTGTGTCCCTGTTGGTGCTGCACTTTAGGTGAGTCTGCATCCCCGTGACTGGAGGTTCTCAGTAGCATTGCCTATTTGGGCTGCACATATGCTCCCCTGGTCTCGTGGCACCCCCTGGCAGCTATACAGCGCTGTGTGGCCAAACCTCCCTCACTTCCTTCTCCACCTAGAGTGCTTGTCTGAACTCTGAAGCAGAGGGAAGGAGGGCAGGTAGCGGAGCACCCACAGGGACACACATGTCAAAGAACCTCAGTTACTGCACAAGGTGAGTAATCCTCTCTTCTTCGAGCAGTCCCTGTGGGTGCTCCACTTTAGGTGAATCCCTAGCTGGAAGAATGGGTCTTAGGAGTTTGATCTGCAAGGGATGATAAAATAGTTAGTCCTATAATAAAGCATCTGAGGTCGAGCCTTGCTCAATTGCATAGTGCTCTCTGAAGGGGTGAGCTGATGACCAGGTGGCTACTTTACAGATGTTCATGATGGACACATTGTTCAGGAAGGCTATTGAAGTGAAGACCGATCTGATGGAGTGTGTTCAAGTTCCCGGTGGGGGCTGCAGATCACGTTGGCAGTAGTAACGGTGAACGCGCCTGGAAATCCTCTGCTTAGATATGGCTGATCCTTTAGACCTTTCCGTAACAGAAAGAAATAGCTTGGGTGACTTTCTGAAGGTTTAGTCCTTTCAGGATGGAATGCTAATGCCCGTCTGACATCTAGAGTGCGGAACACTGCCTCTCGTTTGTTCTCGTGAAGTTTAGGGAAAAAAGATGGGAGGTGGATAGGTTGATTCAGGTGGAATCAGGAAGGTATTTTGGGTACAAATGTAGGGTGTGGTCTTAAAGTGACCTTGTCTTTGAAGAAAATTGTATATGGGGGGTATGCCATGACAGTCCCTAGTTCTCCTACACATTGTGCCTATGTGATGGTGACGATGAAGACCACCTTCATCGACAGGTGCATAAATGAACATGTTCCCATGGGTTCAAATGGGGGACCAATGAGACAGAGTAGTACTAGGTTAAGGTCCCAGGGTGGAGTGGGAACTTGTATTTCAGGATAAAGGTTTCAAATACCCCTAAGGAACCATTTAGTGATAAGATGGGTGAAAACTGAGAAGCCATGAACTTTGTGATGGAAAGCTGCGATGGCTGCAAGGTGTACTCTAAGTGAGCTCGATGATAGTCCTGATTTCTTTAGCTCCAGTATGTAATCTAGTACCAGTGGCAAGGGGGAGGTAATAGCTATGGCTTGCCGATTCTGGTACTGTATGTGGAATCTCTTCCATTTGTGCAGGTAAACACAATGTGTAGTCGACCTTCTGCTATTTAATAGTATGTCCCTTACACCTTCTGAATAGGTCATTTTATTGTCCTGGGACCATGGAGGAACCATACCTTCAGGTGGAGGATCTCTAGGTTCAGATGATGAACCTGGCCTGCATCCTGAGACCAGAGATATAGAAGAAGAGGAAGACTGAGTGGTGGGCATACCACCATCTGCAACAGGTAAGGGAACCAAGTTTGTCTGGGCCATGTAGGAGTTATCAAGATGACTACGGATTGTTTGGCCTTCATCTTGTGTATTACCCTGGATATCAAGGAGATAGGGGGCAAGCAGACGCACATCCCATTTGATGAGGAAAGCATCTCCTAAAGCAGTGGTTCTTAACCCGGGGTACAAGATGCCCTTTCTATGGGTGCGAGACATGCCAGATTTTTTTAGAAGGTAAATAACTGAAAACACAAATTAAGCACAGGCACGTAAGTACAACTACTTTGTTTCATCAAACCTATGTATTTATTAACATTAGACTTTAATGATTATTGTAATATACAAACAAAAATATATCTTGGTTTAAAGAACTGACCTACTTCAACGATTTTTGATAAGGGACGAGAGAACATATTTTGAGAACCAAAGGGGTGCAGGCTGCAGTAAAGGTTAAGAACCACTGTCCTAGAGATTGGGAGCCCAATCCTATTCTTGAGCAGAACTGTGGACACTTGGCATTCTGGGCTGTAGCAAAAAGGTTTATACTTGGGAAACCCCAATGTCTGAATATATTCTGTCAGACCATGGTATTTATTTCTCACTTGTGGTCCTCAGAGAATTTTCTGCTTAATGCATCTGCTGTGGTGTTTTGACATCCTGGTAGACAGGTAGCTGATATGTTGATGTTATGATGGATGCACCAGTTTCATAATCTCAGTGCTTCAGGGCAAAGAGAATGTGACCTTGCTCCTCCTTGACAATTTATATAAAACATGCAAGTGATGTTGTCTTTCAGTACCTTGAGGGTCTTGCTCCTGATCAGAGGTAAAAAATGTGAGCATGCGTTGCAGACTGCTTATAGTTCCAGTAAATTGATGTGTAATGTTGACTCCAAGAGGGACCACCTGCAACTTGTGTGGTTGTTCATGGCAGCACAGTCTTCAGCACAGGCTGTGCAAGCCTGCCTGGAAACCCTGGGCACATACTTGCATTTCTAACCGATACTGAAGCCCATGTTGTCACAGCTTCACTGCTGTTTTTATCGCTCCATTTAGATTAAATCTAGTGCAGGAGTGTTTACACAAGATGCAAATCAAATTTCTGACTGCAGTGTAGACAAACCCTAAAATAAAGGTATCATTTAGAAAATACTTAGTGTGTGTTGCATTGATGGCAAAAAAGTGAAAGTATCAATATGTAGGGCTTGTAGTGTTTGAGATAAAGTTCTAATTTATTGATGTCTTGGGAAGCTTCTGAACTACCCTTAAGTTTTTGAATACCAAAGCATACTTGGGTCAGACTGTAGCTCTTGGCCCTCACACTGAGTAACACATTAAGGGAGGCTTCTTTTTAAGGTTATAGGAAATATCCATCCCTTTAATGAGTGAGTAAATTTAATAAGGTGGGAAGGAGACATAAAGAGCCTTTCCCTCTTGAATACAAAGCAGTAAGGTATTTCTGAAATCTTATGTTTAAGAGAATGTTAGGTTTGGGGACCAGCTACTGGTCTGGCTGGCACACCATCACCCACATGTTTCTAAGTGGCAGTCAGGCCCCAAGCCCTCTTGAGAATATGCTGAAAAAATGCAGACAAGTGAGAGGAGGGAAACATTCATTCTTTTTAAAGTGAGTCTACACTTACTGAGAAACATAGGGTGCAGACACTGCACACCCAGCCAGCACAGTTATAAATAGCAGTGTAGACGGTGAGGCATCATGTAAGAGAGTAGAGTATAGTCAACTGTCCTATACACCTGAATCCCCCAGGAAATATAACCTATACTGCTCTCTACATGCCCATGCAGTGCCTCCCAGGGCTACACTGCTGTTTTTAGCAATGTAGTGTTATGTGGCCTCCCCGGAGCCTCCTCCTGCTACAGCCTTTTCCCACCACAGTGCAATGCCTCAGCAGCTGGTGCCTGTAATCCTAGATATACATTATTAGACAAATACTAATTACTAAACCCCACAAAATTACTGATCTTAAAATTTATGCAATATATATGAAACTGTCTGACCGTTTTTACTGATTAAAAATAACCCTGCACATCTGCTAATGGTTAAATATTTGCATTCCCAATGAAGCACTTTAAGCTAATTATGAGCTCCTAAAGTTAGTGAACAAAATGTTAGGCTTTTTTGAATTAAATAAATAAATGAATAAATAAATAACTTTGCTGTGATATTATTCATTTCTTTCTATAATTAATATGGATGCCTATATAACTTACATTCACATAGTTTGCATTTATGTAATCTTCGTTTCCCTGCAATATTATCCGTGTGGCGTCATCTGAAAAAAAAAAAATTAAAATATTAAAAAAAATTAACAATTGGGTGGCATGCTTTATTATCACCTCCTTTCATTCGATCAAATAACCAAGTCATCACAGGCACATGAACAAAGCATAGAAGTGTTTTAGAATGTAACATGGATGCACAATTACACAACTTTGATTATATAATAAATTCAGTAATGGCAAAATTCAATGTGGTGGTTTTATAACATGTAAAGCATTATTTAGAGGATAAAAGAAAACAGTCAAATTTTGTACTTAGTACTCACAAGGTAGAACATCTTTGTATCGATTTTTGTCCATATTTTGAGGTATTTTTGCACACGTAACAGCCAGCCCTGGCTTCTTTCTATAAAGTTGCTACAAAACAGATATGAAAGAGGTAACATTTTGAAGAATTTGCTTACGCAAAAAACACTATAGACACTAAATAGATCCACATGTAAATGCATATTCTTTTAAAAGAAACTTATGTAAAGCAACTATGCAATGGGAAAGCCATCTTTTTTTCACTGCCTACAAAATTAAAGTGAGGGTGATATTTAAATTCCAAAAACACAAGAACAAAAACCCTACTATTATTGCTAATCCATCATCTTCTGTACATGAATGTCTGAAAAAAATCAAGGAAATGTGTGAGAGTCATTGACTGTTCCCATGTCTTATGACAAATATTGCAGAATGTTGGGTTAGAAAGAGAGGAAGAAAGAAGACGGCAATAAAAAGCAGAAGAGAAGTAACTACTGAAGACTGGCACTTCCCAGAATGAATGGTAATACATATTCATGCACACGTTAACTTACTAGACTAAAACTGCTATTTTCCACAGACTTTGGGGGTGGGTGTGAACGGTGGGGGGGCAAAGTCTACTGCATTTTAGCTGTGAAATTCTGAAGTGGCTTTTAAAAAACAGCTTAATAGCAGGATATTAACAACATTCCATTCACATTAGACCTATGCAAATACCATAAAACATGCTTTTCGAATGTAACACACTTGAATATGGAATTTATTAATTAAGTTTTTGCTAAACAATAGAACAGGTGTCCAGTGTGCTGTGAAAAAGAGATGTGTAAAGAGACAAGAGGATGGTGCTGAACAACCAACATGGAAGAACAAGCAAAGTTATTTCAGGGAGACAGAATGAAAAAAATTCTGAAACGCTGGGTGCAAAAGAAAGGATGGACTTCTTTAATTGTGTCCGTGACAACAAATCAACCCTACTTCAGATCTATATTGAGGAGTATGGGGTCATAACCTCTGGTAACCATGTCTTATAGTCTTACTAATGCACACACCAGATGCCCTCAGAATCCTCAAAGCACTTTTAGAATCTCTATGTAACTTGACAATCTCTTTTTTATCTCTCTTGGGGGCATTGTACTCATGTATATCATTAACACATATGACTAGAAATACACAAGCACATTGCAACGGAAGAGCCCTCATTTAAATGCTTAAATACTTTGTTGGATAGATGCCTCAAGGAACAGTGAATTAAATGGGGTCTTGAAGATGTGTGTTATTTGGAACGGAGTCTATCTGGAATAAATATGAATTTATAATGGTGTAAATGAAAACACACTGGGCCTATATGGATGACGTGCAGACAATGAGGCAAGGGAATGAATTGACCAAGGTACAGAGTCTACTGCAGGGAAAATTTTTATGTGACTATGTAATTAAATTTTTAACTCCCCCCCACCCCCCAAATGTTATGACTGTGATGTGACTATAGTTTTGGTATGTCTTAACATACAAGAGCTTCATTTTGCAACATATATATGTCAAGTGACTAATATAGCTAGATAGATAGATAGATAGATAGGGGCTGTCAAGTGATTAAAAAATTAAGCACGATTAATTGCACTGTTAAACAATATAGAATATTATTTATTTAAATTGTTTGGATGTTTTCTACATTTTCAAATACATTGATTTCAATTGCAACACAATACAAAGTGGACAGTGCTCACTTATTTTTTTATTACTAATATTTGCACTATAAAAAACAAAATAAACAGTATTTTTCAATTCACCTCATACAAGTACTGTAGTGCGATCTCTTTATCATAGAAGTTGAACTTACGCATGTAAAATTATGTACCAAAAAAACCTGCATTCAAAAATAAAAAAATGTAAAACTTTAGCGCTTATAAGTTCACTCAGTCCTATTTCTTGTTCAGTCAATTGATCAGACAAACAAGGTTGTTTACATTTGCAGAAGATAATGCTGCCCGCTTCTTGTTCACAGTGTCACCTAAAAGTAAGAACTGGTGTTCTCATGGCACTGTTGTAGCCAGCATCGCACAATATTTACATTCCAGACACGTTAAAGATTCATATGTCCATTTATGCTTCAACCACATTCCAGAGGGCATGCGTCCATGCTGATTATGGGTTCTGCTCGATAACAACCCAAAGCACTGCGGACCAATGCATGTTCATTTTCATTATCCGAGTCAAATGCCACCAGCAAAAGGTTGATTTTCTTTTTTGTTGTTTCGGGTTCTGTAGTTTCCACATCGGAGTGTTGCTTTTTAAGACTTCTGAAAGCTTCCTCCACACCTCATCCCTCTCATATTTTGGAAGGCACTTCAGATTCTTAAACCTTGGGTCAAGTGCTGCAGCTATCTTTAGAAATCTCACTTTGGTACCTTCTTTGCGTTTTGTCAAATCTGCAGTGAAAGTGTTCTTAAAATGAACAATGTGCTGAGTCATCATCCGCATTGCAGAATGCGGGTAAAATAGAGCCGGAAACATACAATTCTCACCCAAGGACTTCAGTCACAAATTTAATTAACACATTTTTTTTAATGAGCGTCATCAGCATGGAAGCATGTCCTCTGGAATGGTGGCTGAAGCATGAAGGGACATACGAATGTTTAGCATATCTGGCATGTAAAGACCTTGCAATGCTGGCTACAGAAGTCCCATGCAAATGGCCGTTCTCACTTTTAGGTGACATTGTAAATAAGAAAAGGAGTACTTGTGGCACCTTAGAGACTAACCAATTTATTTGAGCATGAGCTTTCGTGAGCTACAGCTCATTTCATCGGATGCATCCGATGAAGTGAGCTGTAGCTCACGAAAGCTCATGCTCAAATAAATTGGTTAGTCTCTAAGGTGCCACAAGTACTCCTTTTCTTTTTGCAAAGACAGACTAACACGGCTGTTACTCTGAAATTGTAAATAAGAAGCTGCAGCATTATCTCCCGTAAATGTAAACAAACGTGGTTGTCTTAGTGATTGGCTGAACAAGAAGTAGGACTAAGTGGATTTTAGGCTCTAAAGTTTACATTGTTTTGTTTTTGAGTGCAGTTATGTAATAAAAAAATTCTACATTTGTAAGTTGCACTTTCACGATAAAGATATTGCACTACAGCACTTGTATGAGGTGAACTGAAAAATACTGTTTCTTTTGTTTATCATTTTTACAGTGCAAATATTTGTAATAAAAATAACATAGTGTGAGCAATGTACGCTTTATATTCTGTGGTTATAATTTAAATATATTTGAAAATGTAGAAAAAATCCAAAAATAGTTAATACATTTCAATTGGTATTCTATTATTTAACAGTGCGATTAAAACTGTGATTAATCATGATTAATTTTTTTGAGTTAATCGCAGTTAACTCATGCAATTAATTGACAGCCCTAATATAATATGAGAGAAACAATTTTTCAAGATCCTAAGAAATGTATAACTTAATTAGCTTATACCTTTTATGATTATCAATTTATCTTCCTTCGCAGTTCTATTAAGTATTGTTACAGTATTATTAAGGCCAAGCCCACTTACTATCTTTTACTGTGATCTTAAAAAAACCCGCTTCCTGTAAAGGATATTGAAATATTCTGTTTTACAGGGGCCATAGTCTTATTTCATCTTTATGTTCTCTTCAATGTTGTAGAGATACTGAGAATTATTTATAAAGAAAACAGATCACAAACTTTCAGGCCTGAAGGTCTTAAAATTTTCACCCTGTCATTACTTGGCAGAACAAGTGAACAGCTCAAGCGTAAGTCTTTATTTCCTTCAAATCAACAGAATTAACTTATCTTAAAATGAAGATCTGTTTACAAAGCACGATGTATATATACACACAATACATATTTAAATTATTATGTTTATATATTTCCATCCCCCACCCCCAACTCTACTTTTACCTTTTTGAAGTAAAAGAAGGTTTAAGAATCTAATCCCTAATAAATCTTGAAGAATTTTGGGGAATTTTAATTCTTCCAAAGAGCTTAATGTATCTTGCCATTTTAAAATAATATAGGCTTTAGTATAAGATTCCATACACAAATAGAGTAAAAGCAACAGGATGCTGACAGAATATCTTTTTACATAAAAATCTGTGGTTACCAAGAGAACGTGTTGAAAATTAGTTCCTCTATAAGGTTAACTGAATCCTGATACTCAGTATCATAGTTTGCTACACATTTTCAGTTTGAACAGCATAAGCAGGAGAAAAACTCACATGGGAAGAGACCTAGTTAGTACATTTTTTAAATACTTGCATCAATTAAAATTTAGATTCAGTTTTTGGTTTGATTAGCGATTTGTGCTTTTAGTGGAAGACAAAGATATTATTAATGTCAAGATCTCAGCTCAGAGTTTTCAGAGTCCTTCCCGGCTTAAAATGTATTATGTTAAAGTCCACTCACCAGAGAGAATTTCTAAGCACAGCAGGTAAATGAATGGCTTTCTGTTTTATCACATCGTATTTGAAGATCTGCTTAGCTATTATAAGAAACCAAAGCCTATTAGCAATGGTTGCCACTGCAAACTCCACATTCCCCTTGTTCCACCACATACTGAACATATCAAAGGACAGTTTTACAAATTTTTTCTTCTCCATCTCCCCTCCCCACAACTCTGGAGAAACATATAGAGCTTCTCATAAGAAATTTTATATTTTAAAGGTGTTTTATGAGCCCATAATTCAAAAACACTTTTAAAACTGAATTTTAATAGGTTATTAAGTCTATGATATAAACTAATTACTTTGCATCCTAGAATTAAGGAACTGGCTAAGGAACCACTGACTATTTCCAAAAAATTCCTGGAGAACTAGGGAACTACCAGAAGTCTGAAGTAAACATATGTGGGATTGTTTTTCAAAAATGGAAAACTGACTCTGGCAATTACTGTTTTCTTGGAATAATGCAATGCTCTCTCTCTATCTCTAGAGATAATAAAATTCAGCTAGTGCAAATGAGGTAGTCCATTTACTAGGGCTATGTCTCCACTACACACCATTTTTCAGTGGAGTGTAAGATATGTGTAGAGCCCTGTGCGGATACAACATTTATATCTGCCGATGTGGATATCTGCGGAACTGCAGGGCTCTACCAGAAACCGCAGTGACAAAAGCAGCAGCATGTCAGGCCGCCGCTCACAGGAGCCAGCACCCAGCCCGGGGAGCTCCTTTGGTGTGGCTGTACTGCCCCCAGCCCTGCCCACTGGGTGGGCACCAGGATCACTGGCAGCTCTCCCTGGTCACAGTAGCATGTGAAAGTGGCTCATAAGCTCCCAGACAGGAGACACATGCTGCTGCGCAGAAGGGATTCCTGTGTGCGAGCTTGTGAGCCACTTGCACACACTAGTGTGACCAGGGACAGCTGCTGGTGAGCCTGGTGTCTGTTTTATATCTGTGGAAATAAATGTTGTATCCACGCAGGACACGCCAAACAAAAAGCAAGCTGCAGCCACACTGTAGCTACACATGTTAGTGAAAGGCTCTGACAGGAGGGAGGCAGCAGAAGAAAAATCTGGCAGTGGGGAGCTGGCGGAGACTTTCCCCACTGCTGGAGTCCTTCCTTACCTGCAGTGGGGAAAGGCTCTAGACGTGGAGAGCTGACAGAGTCTTTCCCCGTGGTGGGGAATGGCTCCAGCAGCTGAGAGGCAGTGGGACACTACAAAGTAAAAATAGCAGTGGAGTTGGGATGGCACAGCTTGGGTGAGAGTAGAGAGCCATACAGGGTACATACTTGGGTACACATTCACACCTTTTAGGCGTGTCTGTACCCAGGTAAGCTGTGCCTCATTGTCTACACTGCTCCTTACACCCATGCTAATGGGGCTACCCTGAGTATATACTCTACACACTGCTGAAAGAAGAGTGCAGTGTTAACATAGCCTTAGAGATAGTGTGCTCACCTCTGTCTTATTAGCTTGGATGTATGAATGGACGCATAGACTGAAAAATGTCAAAAACTGGAAAAGGGGTAAAGATGAACAATGTTGACTGAGTTGGGCAAGTACCTACTGGGATAAGAGAAGGAAAAAGTCCTTTTTATTGTTTTATTTAACATGATCATCAGTGATCTCAAAAAAGGGGATAAACTTATTAATGAAATTTACAGAGGCTGCTACATTGAGTGCAGTTGGAAACTCCAAAAGGGATAGAGAAATACTACGAAGGGATCTAAAAAGATGAAGGGATGGTAAGAAACTTGAAATCTTTTGGGACAACTGCAAACATTATATACAAAATCCCTTGAATGGCAAGGTAATTTGCCCTTAAATTTTGTGGCAAGGTCTCCAGGTTTCTTCATCACTTTGGTGCAGCTGATTGAGAGTTTAGGAAGAGTTCAATTCATTTTTAAAAATAGAGGTGTTGATTGATTTCAGTAAGAAAATGAACAATACAATCAGCACTGTAGCCCCTATTTTATTCATTTTTATATTAAATTGATCTTATTTTATGCTGTCCCCACAGTTTAAGTTCTCACTGTGCTGCATATTTTTTGTATCAGCAAATGAACATAAAAGTTGTCAGGTGATAAGCTTGAGGTTTTGGCACCTGGGTAGGGGCTGGAAAGCAATTTGAGTCTGTGAGATAAACTCACCAGCAGGTTAATTCTGTTAATGATCAACAGCAAACTAGTTAAATTTGATATTTAAACTTGCACCTTTCGGGCTTGTCTACATTACCCACTGGATTGACGGGTAGTGATCCAGCAGGAGGGGGTGTCAATTTATCGCGTCTAATCTAGACGTAATAAATCGACTGCCGAGCGCTCTCCTGTCAACTCCGGTACTCCACAGGAGCGAGAAGTGGAAGCAGAGTCGACAGGGGAGCGTCAGCCATCGACTTACCACAGCGAAGACAGCGCGGTACGTTGATCTAAGTACGTCAACTTCAGCTTCGTTATTCACATAGCTGAAGTTGCGTAACTTAGATTGACACTTCCCCCCCCCCAGTGTAGACCAGGACTCAGATTTCACAATTAACAACATATTCAGATGCATGGGGCAGTTCACATTTCTTGGAGTTACTGTTTAAGACAGTGAGCAGACTCAGAAAATCATTGCAATATTTACAATCTGTTCATGTTTGTAAAGTTAATTTCATAACCAGAAGGGATAGAAAAATAGCTTTTAAAAATGAAATCTTAGATCCCAGAGCATAATTCAGGAATAGGGACCTAAATCATGAAGTGTTTTATGCAACAGGTCAGAACCCACACCTCAGCAGGAATGCGTTGCCATAAAATCTTTTGCTATGCATGGGGACAAGGGAGGGAAGAAACAAAATTTGAGCAGTTAGAGGGGAAAAAAAAGATCCCTTTGCTCGTCAAGCTTTGGGCTGCAGAGTGGGCTACTCTGTATCTGGGGAATTTGACATTAATGGCCCACACGTATTGGGGGGAAAAGAGGACATCATAAATCACTATAAATGAGAGTTTGAGGCCCTGAGAGCAAGAGGGACATACAGACCCAGGTTTGGTTCACTGAATTACCTTGCCACAAGAAAAGCATTGAAGAACAACTGAAGAACAGAGAAAGGCAACAAAAATGATGAGGGGTATGGAACAGTTCCCATAGGAGGAGAGATTAAAAAGATTGGAAGTGGGCAGTTTAGAAAAGAGAAGACTAAGAGGGGCTATGGATAGAGGTCTGAAAAATCATGAAGGGTGTGGAGAAAGTGAATAAGGAAGTGTTATTTACCCCTTCACATAAACACAAGAACCAGGGATCACCAAATGAAATTAATAGACAGCAGATTTAAAACAAACAGAAGAAAGTACTTCTTCCCACAGTCCATCTGTGGAACTCATTGCCAGGGGATGTTGTGAGGGCCAAAAGTATAACTGGGTTAAAAAAATAATTAGATAAGTTTATGGAGGATAGGTCCATTAATGGCTACTGGCCAAGATGCAGCCCCATGCTTTGGGTGTTCCCAAGCCTCAGACTGCCAGATGCTGGGACTGGACAGTGATAAACTGTTACGTGCTTTCATAAAGGATAATCCTGCATTTTCATTGTGTGACACAGAAAACTATCAAGTGCAGACTGGTATGACTTCTGTCAGAAAACTTTGCTTTTGGCATGAAGAGAATTCATAAAATTAAGATGAAGGGAGGGGGTGGGAGGCGCCTCTGGTGGTTGAACTAAAAACCTTAAACACCGATTTTTTTTTTTTTTAAACACATAGTGTTTCATGCAAGACCAATAACTCACGGTTCCCCAACATGGTTGAGAGTGTAAGAGTGAGCATGAGAGAGAGGGGGATGTATTAAACCTGCTGAGATGGGGTTGAATGGGAGCGATAAATGTCCAAATGCCTTAAAATCACTCCTCAGTCAGAACCACCAGGTAACTGAATTTAATGTTACCTACCTCAAATTGAATGAGTACTGTCCCACTTTCCAGACCTTTCTTCAGTTGTTCCATAGACTCCTCTAGTGTGTCACCGTACTCTGAATACGTGCGAATAATGGATTCTAGAAAATTCTGGGAATCTGCTTCATCTTCTGACTTGGTCTCAACCAAGGGTTTAGCAACTGAAAGACAGATAGGCAAATATAGACTTTTTACATGCATCCAGTAGCAATCTTTACTTATGTTAAAACTTACTTGAGTATAATGGACATTTTCAATCCTCCTTGATGCTGCAAGTTAGGCTACTAACCCCAAACTGAGGCATCTAAATAAATTTGGCCATAGTTTTACACATGCTGACCAACCCCAGTTCTGCACAAATCCGTAAGAGTGGCAGGTGTTCAACTCCTTTGAAAAACGAGACCAATGATTTAGGTGCCTAAATATGGGTAAGATACTAGGCATCCAGATTTCAAAAGCTTAATCTAATGGTACACCAGCAACCCTATCGCATCAATTTTTGAGGAGGCAAACAGGTCACCACCACCACCACAGGAAGAAACCCATGAATTTCACCTATTGAAATTTAGAACAAAACTTATAAATATGCCCATTTCAAGAATGACAAAATGAGCTTTCTGGATTTGTTGTAAATTACATTTTTCACTGTATGCTTGTGGTGGGGAGAATTTAGTGTTATTTCCACATCTGGAATAGAAGTTTTAGAAAATGGCACTCTATTTTAAAATGTTTATCAAAATGTTTTTGTGCAAGAAACTATTTATTTGTACCACTGAAAAAATTAAAATTAAGCAGAAACTTGCTGCCATATTTTCTACTTAAAATTAGTATTGTTTAGTTTTCTCAGAATATTCACCCACTTGGGTCAATACTCTTCACTTTGACTAAAACCTCACAAAACTGCAGTTGTATGATGCAAAAAAAAGTATTCTGAGTTGAAGTGCTCCTCACTTGAATGTATAAGACTATTGGCTCAAACATTTGTGTTAGTAATCAAGAAGAGAGACGATCTCAAATGCTACCACTCTATTTCAGTACAGACCCATTCACAGAATAACTCTTGATTATTAATATATTAAATTGCAAGGGGGAAAAAGCCACAATTTAAAGGCATGACAGTCTCAATTACATTTAAAATCCTTAGTGCAGTTACCTTTCCGCCTGACCAGAAGTGCAAGCTCTCTTGTGTGCAGTTCTCTGCTGGCTTTTATAAACATTACCACTTGGTCATGAGTATGCTCTGAGATGTCTCGACCATTGATTAACACTATCTGATCACCTTCATTCAGTTTTGGAATACATGTATCAGCCTGTTTCACAACCAAAGAAAAAAATGTCAGTTTATCCAATACCTTCAGTAGAACATTTCTAATCTCAGGGAGACTGAATTCATCGTGCAGCAAAGACAAAGTTATTCTCCTGACAAAGTCTTGCCCTTGGTATCAGAAGCTATGTCAGAGGATTCAGATCTAAAATTGTTCTAGTGGCTTCAGAATGAAGATGAGAGTAACAGTTCACACAGCCCATTAACAGCTATGCAAAAGTTTCTAATACTTTGGCATCTATATTTACCAAGCAGCCATAACTCGATATGTTTGATGCATCCGAGCTTTACAATCGGACTTTTAGCAAGATTTTGAAAATATTTAGAAATATGGACTTTTAGAAAGATGTTGAAAAATGTCACACACATAAAAGAAAGCAGAATGATTAAAATAGCAAAAAGTAGGAGTAAGTTTCAATTTGTATTGAGTAAAAATGCTTCATAACGTTAGTTTTGCTCCATCATCATACATGGAAACTGAAGATTAATATTAAATACCATATATGAGGGCTGTTCCTGTATTACACATCATTGGTTTTACTGAACTATAAACACAACTGATGAGTTATGCATTTTTTGTTAGATTCATACAAGCTTCTTCTTGTTCCACAGGGGAGAAGTGATCAGATTCTACCAGGGAGTTAGCAACTTTATTCCTGCCTCCCCATCAGCAATTTTCAAAGTAAGATGGTGTGGACAGGTCCTTTGATCTCCAACACCCACAGGCGCCACACGTAGGGGCAAATCCTATTCCTGCCCCTGCAGCCACAGAAAGTGGCAGGATTTAGGTGTGCCATGCATGCTGTGAACACTCCCTGATTGTGTGAAGATCTGCTAGAATCCTCCCTATACTGGACTCGGCATTGGGCTTTCGAATTTCTCCTCTGTTCTTCACCAGTGCTCTTTAGGACTCGGCAGATCTAAGGCCAAAGCAAGGCTGTCTGAGCAAGGATCCTGTGGAGCCAAAATCTCTCTGGGAGAGGCCTGCTAGAAGCAGAACAAAATCACTCATGTTTGCTTGTTGCTAGCAAAAACAGATATTCTGTTCTGGAGGCACCCAGCAGCATCAGAATGAAGTCTAGATGCTAGAAATCCTTTCAACCTAATCTTAATTGTTCCCCCACCTATATCTGTTGGTGTTGCAGAGCTTCGCTAATCAATGTCTGTTCACCCAATGTTGTGGGTCAAAAAACAGGACTGGGAACAAGTCGTCCGGATTAGCACTTTCCTCCCTGCCTTGGTTTACATGTTTCAGGCTGAATGGGGAACAGCTGACAGACTGAGGAAGAGAAATGGGCTAATGGCATATCGCATTTGCAGGCAGAAATAATAGATGATGAAAAGAAACGGTGAGACTGGCAAAACCAAGAGGGAGAGAAAGACAAAAAGGGGAAATCTGCAGGAAGAAAAGGGTGATCTGAGTAGGTGGGGAGAGAAACAAGAGAACAACCAGCGGACCAAATTTGGTGATGCATCATGGTCACGTACCACCTGAGGCATGTTGCACATATGTTAAGAAGACTGAAACTAAGAAGTGGGAGTGTGAAAGACACAATCAGATAAGGGGGAAAGAAAATAGCGAAATGGAAGACAGAACATAAGCAAAATGGAAAAGCTGCAGTTCCAGCATGGAAAAAGGGAAGAGGCAGTGTGCTGAGGTGTGTGGGTGTTTTAAGAAAGACAAAAAAAAGAGGGAAAGAAAGAAGGGAAAATAGTTGTAATGGAGAGAACTGAAAATGATGAACAAAGAACAAAGAAGGGAAAAAATGCAAAAAGGCAAAGAAAAAATCTTAAAGGACAGCCACAACAGGATCGGGGTTTCTGACCCTTGGGGCACCAGGGCTCTGGCCTTCTGTCCCATGGGAGCACCGGGACTAAGGGCTTTAGACCTGGGGGGAGAGCTGGGGCTTGGGGATTCAGCTCCATGGCTCCATTCCTGGCTTCAGCCCGCCGGGGGGGGAGGGGGAGAGGGACGGGGGGGGGGGAAACGGGACGCTGGGGCTCCCCACTGCTCTGCTCTCAGCTTCAGTTAGGGCTTGGGGCATCAGCTACGGGGAGGAGTGCTGGGACTGAAACTGGTGCTCTCCTCGTAGTGAAAGCTCTGAGTCCAGTGCCCCAGAGGGGCTGAAGCCGGGACCGGAGCCGTGGGGCTAAAGCTCCAAGCCCCAGCGCTCTCCCCAGTCTAAAGCCCTGAGTCCCGAGCTCCCCACCTGCACCTGGAGGCCTGACCCTCAATCCTTGCGACTATAGCCCCAACCTCTTGTGGCTGAAGCCCTGAGACTTTATGCCCCCTGTGGGGCTTAAGACCCGAGCTCCTGGGCCCCAGGGCTCCAAAGGGTCAGAAGCCCTGAACTCCCCCCCCAAACATGCAGCTGCAAGCCCAATCTCACCGTGGTGGAAGCCTTGAGCCCCAGGGCTAAAGCCCCAAGGCAGTACAGTATTTGCTTTTGGTCTGCGCTGCTGCTTGATTGATGATGTCTGGTTCCACAGGGTGTCTGGTTGACCAGTAAGTCCGTAACTCTGGTGTTAGTATCTTTGAGATTCTATTCTACAGCAAGGCTACATCTTCACTAGAAACTGTGCAGTGGCACGTCTGCCGTGCTGTAGCTGCGCTACTGTAGTGCTTCAGGGTAGATACTCTCTACAACGATTCGAGGGGTTCTCCCATCACTGAAGTTAATCCACATCCCTGAGAAGTGGTAGCCATGTAGACAGAAGAATTCTTCCATCAACCTAGCACGGTCTACCCTGGAGGTTAGGTTGGCTTAATGATGTTGCTCAGGGGGTTAGATTTTTCCATACCCCTGAGTGATGTAGCTGGGTTGACCTAACTTTTTAGTGTAGGCCCAGATTTAATCAAGTGAGTCAAATAAGAAAGCAGAGAGTGGATTGTGAGGCATAAACATTTTACAGTGATTAACAGTTTGCCTGGAAGTTGACATTCTTCTCTGCCAGTAACCAAGAATGCTTGCTGTTAGTCAGCCACTTACCAAGGAATCCACAATGCAGACAGAGAAAAAGGGATCGAGGAGAGGAATCAATCCTTTCAATGCAGGTACAATATAATTTTTTTTCAGAGATCAAACTTTTCAAGACAATGGTGCTAATGGCTTTTCATCCAGTTTATGAATGCCAAAGTTTGATATAATATGAAGTACTTCTTTCTTGGTCCTAAAAATTCCCCATACTGTTTTCAATCTGAGGTTGAATCAATTATAATTGTAATGGCTTCCTCATTATCCTGTTAGGACATTAAACTATTGACTTTTTAACATGAAGTACTTTTAAATGTCATCCACATTTAACTATAGTTCCATTTCTTCATTCTTGCATTGTCTTCCACCCAAAGTAGCTAGATGGATCTCCCTTCACTACAGCCACAAAAGTTAATTTACCCACAGGTATTCCCAGATGAGTATTGTTCCTTAACTAGAGGTAGATTGCTTTAAATTATATTTTCAATTACTTTCGGATTTAGAAGGGAAAACACCTGATTTATTCGGTTGCATACGTTTGTTCAAATAATTCCAGAACTCTTTTGGGAAGAGAAAAAAAGTGACCTTCACAATCTGGAAAGATAATGTGGGAATATACCATGTAGTTCCCTGGATGGGAAATGTCCCAATAATGAGTCATTCCAGAGCAAATTAATGAAGTAGCAAAAAGGATGAAAAGATTATAACATTAAGAATTTCTAGTTTTGTAGTCAGAATAGCCTTCAAATGCTCTGCACACCACATTAAAAGTGAACATTTGCCTGTCAGCTACATCATCTTATTAAGCAATCAGGAACTGATACACTTTACTGATACTACTGAAAATGGTAAGATCAACATTAATCTTGAAGTACAGTAGAACCTCGAGTTACAAACACCAGAGTTATGAACTGACCGGTCAACCACACCCCTCATTTGGAACTGAAAATATGCAATCAAACGGCAGCAGAGACCAAAAAAAAAAAAAAAAAAAAAAGGCAAATACAGTACAGTAGTGTGTTAAATGTAAATAACTAAATAAATAAAGGTAAAGTTTAAAAAAGATTTGATAAGGTAAGGAAACTGTTCTAGTGCTTTTTTCATTTAAATTAAGATGATTAAAAGCAGGTTTTTTTCTTCTGCATAGTAAAGTTTCAAAGCTGTATTAAGTCAAAAGTTGTAAACTTTTGAAAGAACCACCATAATGTTTTGTTCAGAGTAATGAATATTTCAGAGTTATGAACAACCTACATTACCAAGGTGTTCATAACTCTGAGGTTCTATTGTACCTTCAGAAAATGTAACTTGTTGCCTTTAGTTGCCATGTAAAGTTACCTCTTTCCCATAAAACAAATCTAATGGATTGGATAAAAGGTTCCCAAACGTTGCTGCCCCTTGTTCACTTGCTTGGTGGTCTGCCAGGAGAGCACTAACTGGTCATGTGGGGCTGGCTCCTCTGTTTTCAGTTCATACATTTCTTTGAGAACTACAAATTCATTAATTTGCGTAATTCTATTTGTTCAAGAAAGCTGAAAAAAAGCAAGCTGTAGCTGCCACACGGATGTTACATGATGACAAAGATAGGTAATGTGGGCCACACATTCATGATTGGGGCAGGATGTGGGACACAAGTCAATTTCTCTATTGTGATGTTGTCTGTGCTACAAAAAAGTTAGAGAATTCTTGTATTATACTGTGGTCTAATAACAATGAAACCTTTCTTTCTGAAACATCTGCAGTATGCAGACTGCAGCAGAAACCACACAGAATTCATATCAAATTATAATTGGTCTTATCTCAATTGTTATAGAAGTTTGGAAAATATACTTTGAAGTATGTGCCCAAAATAAAAATTTAAAATAAAATGACATTTGTCCTCCCAAATTTGATTTAGATGATGTATCTATTGTACGAGTCATAAAAAAGACATTTCAGCTATGTGTTACAATATACTTCATGTGTACAGACACTGGAAAAAAATTAGCTTTGCTACAAAGTCATACACTGAAAAACTACATGAGGATTTACTTACAGATGATCCTGGAGTTATTCTTGACACCACCAAAGGCATTTTTTGATCAACACCACCCTAAAAGATGTTAAGTAAACAGTGACTATAAAGATACCATTAGGATGTAAGCAGTACATTATACAACAAATAGTCTATTTTTTGTTCCTATGTGAATCTAAAATTTATGCTTTGTACTTCACTGTCATGGGCTTGACCTCGCAAGGTGCTCAGTACTCATGCTTAAGTGCTGTGCTGAACTGGGACCAGAGAACTCAGCATCTTGCAGGATCAAACTATGAATCTCCAAGTGTTGTTGGTTTTTTATCCCTTTTTTATTTTATATGACACCAAAGTCTTATGGACATAAAATACATCTTCCCCAGGACTCGTGAGTGAAACAGGTGACCTAACAATGCCCACAAATAAGTGACAGGGATCAGATGCTAGAACTGGAGCCTGGTTCTCATTTTCACTATAGCCACTTTATATATATATTTATATATTCAGGCAGTGTAACAGGGCCTTAAAAAGGACATTAATCAGAAATTACGGAAGCTGCCGCTGCACCTCCTTCTCCAATTCCTTCATTTACTAGTTGTCACCTTTGCAATAACTGGTTCACCACTGGGTGCACACACACCATTAACATGTTCTGTTGATTGTAAAACATGAAGGGCCTAGTTCTCCAAAAATGAGCGCCTGAAGTTAGGCTCCATAGTCCACTGGTAGGCACCTGAATAAATGATCTGCTTTTCAGATGTGTTGGACATACAGCAACTTCTACTAAAGACAACAGAAGCAGTTGGATACTTACTTTAGCCAATTAGGCCATTATTTGGGTGCCTATATAAGCAATTTAGGAACTTAATCTTAAACACCTATTTCTGAAAAATCTTGGCTAGAGTTTTTAACTCTTCAAAAAAAAATCCTTGTGGGACAGCAAAGGCTCATCATATCCCTTAATCTCTTACCTCTGATGTAAACATGGATATAAAAAATGGAAAACAATATTGATTTGTTCAGTTAAGACACTAGTTACTTAACTATATTGCATGTTCATGAGATTTTAAGGCTCCCTTTTTACCTTCAGATTAAATCCAAATTTCCCATCTTCATCTGGAGTGATTCGCACCAAAAGCAAATCTCCATCAATTACTTCATTCTGCAACACATTGAAAAAAAAATCTTCTAACATTTTCTATTTCTTTACACAAAATAATGGCAAAAAGAACACAATATTTCCTATTAATTCATATTAGAAAAAGTAAACATGGTAAAAATGACGAGGAGCTAGGATTGTACAGTACACAAAAACTGTTTGTATTTTGCTGTTTATTATACTGGAAGTGGCAGAGACTACCACAATTAATGATGCATAATGGTTTTGATCACAAGCCTGTTGCCCACAATTTTTAGAAATGATCATCTCCTCAATGCCTGATCCCTTGCCAAAGAGGACTTTTTGTTAAGTTTCAGACAAAAGTAGGCTAGACATTATTGATTTCAAGAACTATAAAAAATAAATGTTTCCATAAAAAAGTATATTTGGAATCTTTTTGAAGAGTTCCACAAGCCAGAGTGTCTGAAGTTTGAGGTGTAAAAATTGGCATTGACATAATCTTAATTGAGGGGTAGTTTACTTTATGGATCCACAGCAGAATTAACTGCGATTAGACTGAGTTACTGGCGTTGGAAAATTGCATGCTGAGCATACTTAGATTTTTCGAAACTATAATCTAAAGTGCAAAACTTAGAAAGTAATGGCTGCACATAGAGCAGGTTGAAAAATCTTACTGAACAATTTTCCATAAGAAAATTAAGTGTCATTGAAATGTTTTGCTAAAAGCAAAACTTTTTGCAGAGACATGCTGATGACAAACTTTTTGATGGGAAAAATCTAAATGATTAATTTCAACTTTGTCTCATTTAATTTGCGTTTGACTTTCATATTATATTATATATTATGTGTTATAATACAATGTTTTAACATCATCAAAATGAAACATTTTTATGTATCTGAATTTCACAAGAAATTACATCTTTTTGTTTCAATTCAAAATGTCGATATTACCAGCAGGACGGAGTCCATTTTTTGACCAGCTCTACACGCACACATCAATCCAACTGATTCAGCTACGGATTTAAACCCTTAAGGACAGCAAGCACCGGGTGCTAGTTTTAGAAACTGTTAAAATATATTAAGTGAACTGCCAATATCCTCACAGCAAAAAGCACAGGCCATGCAAATTTGTCTGAGTAACTTGCATAAATTTCAGTATATTTACATAAAACTGTTTAGAACTAGGGAAAGGCAAAAAAAAAAGGGGAGAGGGGGGAGAAGAGGGAATAGGAAATCCCAGCATTTGATTGTTTTCCTCTTCCTCGCTTGTCCACATCAACATTTCAGTCCTTCACCCCAAGGAATGTCATTTTATCCACCATCCACATTTCATTGCTATTATCCCCCTCTCTGTCCTGAAGCATTTGAATTTAATCTTCCCCCAATAGCATTTCACACTCCCCATCAAGAGGCTCAATTTTAGCTATTCCACCCTCCACCCTTGCATTCCCTGCCACACCCTAGGCATTTTTACTCTACCATACACCTCTCCCCTACCCCACTTCCCACACGTGGTTTAGTTCGGCAGTATGGAGGGGGAGAAGGGTGAGGGTAGCAGTCAAGAAAACAGGAGGGGAGTAGAAGGTTGTTAGACCCCTGGAAGACTTGTGAGGCTGGGGAGGGGAAGCAATAAGGGGGCTTCAGGGCTAGGTATGGTGCTTGGGAATAGTCAGCATAGCACTGGAGTTGGTAGTAGTGAGGGAGATGGGGGGCCCTGGGCAGCAGCTCTCTCTGGAGGGGATGGGGAAAAGGGGTTAGAGAGATTGAGGGGCAAGGGGAGCCAGAGAGTGGTGGGCAGCTGTTGCCTGCTGTATATGCTGAGGGGCACTGCTGTCTACTGGCATGTATAACAGCTCTGACTGACTTTTCTTCCTCCAGAGACGGGGAACTAGGGTGAAGGGCAGACAACTATATGGGGCTTTCCCCTTAAATTAGGGGTTTTTTTCTGCAGATGGGTCTGAAAATTTGGAGCCTATGGAAAAGCCACAGAGCTGGCAGACTTGCCTGCCACATTGCATAGTGTTTTCCTCTTTGGTAAATGTAAATCTTAATAAACCAGACTTACTCTTATTAGTGCATGCCATTAAACATGTAAATTATGCAACAGTCAAGTTAACACTGCTGGAATAACCCTATGAATGCTTTATCTCACAGACTGGATGCACATTTATACTAGGCCTTCTCCGTTAAACAACTTACCTTATCACAGTAGTACTGACTGGAATCTTCTGTTAAGCTCCCTTTGGTGACATTGTCATATGTTTCTAAAAACTGTTTGTCCACCCCATCCAATGGATAAGAGCCTGAAAAGTTACCAACTCCATTGGGAGACTGGGACAAGGCAACAGGTGAGGTATGAGTCAGACAGTTCTGTGTTGGACTATTTTCCAGTACATTCCTTCATTAAAAGAAAAAGAAGGTACATTAAAAAGGTACTGATATTCATGGGTCTAAACTCAACATACAGTAGTAATTACAAACATGTAATGTCAACTTCTTATAGCAGAGTGCCAGTTAAAGTTGAGCGTCACTTTCTATTTAACAGCAGACTATTCTAAATGCTCTAAAATCCATTACTTGGATTATCTTCAAATTTACCATGCCTCATGGGGGTGGGGAATAAGGTGATTTGGTCAAAATTTGGGGTCATTTGAACAAGGCATTCATGAGATATGCGCTACCCCTCAAAAAAACCCAACATCTGTTGATAAAATCATCTGGTTTTTTAAAACTTTTTTGCGTACATCTGGGGCTCAAACTATGCCTCTAATCCTCTTGAAACTGATCTCAGCCACTTGGCATTTATCCAGCTGTTGGGGAAGCAATATTGAAAATACCGAAAAAGTTATTAAGGGTAAAGTTTATAGAAGTTTCATCTCTGCCTCCCCAAGCCTTCCCACATCTATAGCTCCTTTTTCTGTTTCCCCTTTAAAACTGAGGAAGGGTGGGGAGCTGGGTATGAGCATGTTCAGTAAAATGGCACAGTACACAGCACTGAGATAGTAGGGGGACATTTAGCACAGAACACCTCACTGATATTAATGAACCACTTCACACCTCTCTGAGCTTCCTATGCTACAGATGGATGTGTAGAGCTCCTTCCCCATACACTAGGCCCAGGTCTGGGGTAGTGGACTTGGCAAGGATGAGGGAGGAACAGTGCTCAGAGTAGTGGGGGTTTGCGGGGGTGGGAAGTGAGAGCAGTGGGCATGAGGAGGTGACCATTGGAGGTCATGGAGCAGTGTCGGACCAGTGGTGGGGAATTCTGAGCAGTGGGGAAGAATTTAGGAGCAATTAAAGGGTTGTTGGAGCAGTGCAGGAAAGAGTGGGATGCAAAGGAAAGCTGTGCAGTAGGAAACGTTGGGGGCTTTGAATTCTGTCCCCCAAAACCCTCTCTCTTCAAAAAACGTTCCCCACTGACTCCAGGCTAGTCCTTGCATAGTTCCTGCCTTCTCTCTCCAGCTCCATAGCCTGTGGGTCCCATTCCAATGCCCACCCTTCCCTGTGGAGGAGAATCAGGCTGTGATACAGGCAGAGAGAAAGAAGTCACAAAGATGATGCAGAGGCAGTGAAGTGACTAACATCTAGCCAGTGCATCCTGTGGCCAAGGCAATCATTAACAAGGAGCCAGAGGAAGTAAAAAAAGAGCTGGGCTGTGGAACATGGGGATACTGAGAAACTATTCTTAAAAATGACAAGGAAATGAACTTCACCAAAACGTCGTTAATGCAGATCTTCTTGTCAGCAGTCTAATGACATACAAAATAGTAGTCTCTCGGGCTTAGTGGGGTAAGATTTTGGTTTCTCTAGTAATTATTGTTATGAATATTGTATACCTCAAGATATTTATGATTCAAATATAAATCAGTATTATAAAGATACCAAAGTTAGATGTGTAAGTGGATCACACAAACATAATCTTTGAGGAATATAGCAAATGTTCACATTTCTCTTGTAATATCAGATTACAGTCCATAATGATTCCCCAGTGCAGGAAAAGTTAACAGCACTAGGGATGGATGTGACTTCCAAAACTGCTTAATTTAATGTTTTTGGTACTATATAAAGAATTACCAGATAAATCACCAACAGATTTTAGCATAATTAAACTTTTACTATATATTCTACAGAGCAATTTAAAGAAGTGACACTTTGCAAATTACGATGTTTGGATGCTTACTGGCATGTTAGAATTCAACATGTTTCTAAAGCTTAGTTTTGAGATTTTTTTAAAGATTATTTTAAGACATTTTCTAACTATTTAAATAGAAAGGCTTCAAAGATTTCATTCATTCATAATTTTACTTCATATCTGAAATCCCCATTTTCAACAGTAGAATGTCTGTATGCTTATAAGAAAACTCACTTTGGTGATTCTTGTTCAGATGACCTGTTAAAAACAATAAGCGAACATAGGATAAATATCTTCAGGAGAATTGGAACAAAGTATACCACAATTCTAATCTAAAAAAACAATTTCAAGACCTGAGGGCTGTATTCATAGCAATTTAAGGACTTAATTCTATACAGGAAGTAGAACCTGAACCCGGGAAAATAATTAAAGATTTTGTGGATCACTGAAGAAATATTAAACTAACCCCAGCATTTCATTTCTACCACAAAGCCAGCTAACAAAAAAGTTTATCTGCAATCATAAATTATACTAGTGCACAGCAGTGTCAGGATTCAGATTGTTTAATAAAATACTCCTTATCACTCAAGATGGAGCTCTTTGTCATGGCCCACAAAGACTACAGAAGGCACTGCTGATGCTCTGCAAAAACCACATGCTGAAGACACAAATGAAAGTGGCACAGCCCTTGCAGTTAGCAGAGTTGCAGTATACTTGTCCCCAAAATGCAGGGCAGAATGGCTGCTTACACAGAAAGCCTGCAGACAAAAGCATAACTGCATGCACATGTGTACGATACAGTACAGGAAGCAAAGGCAAGTTAATTGATGTTCATTACAGAGCAGCTTGACTAGGAAGAGCAGGGATTTTTCCAAATGTGATCCACATCTCAATAGAGATATTGACTTGTGGACAGCTCCTCGCACATTCATGATTGCATAAATCACTCCGCTCCTCTCTGCAATCATAAAATCCCTGTGTCAACTACAGCAATTGCTTAAATGGAAAAGACTAGGAGAGTATTTAATATATGTTTAGCTTTTCTCAATATGATGGAGAAACTGAAAGCAAGAAGAAGAGCCAGCACCATGTCACCAATCAGCACTCTGTGGACCATCAACTGCTCCACAGATCACTGGTGGTCCCTGGGAACCAACAGGGTTGTATAGAGCAAGACCAACAGCTCCATCCAACTATAAAGAGGCATCAACCTTGATGGTTCCAGTTCCCAACCCCAACACAGCAGCTTGGAAGAGGATTTGGAATACAGATCTAGAAGAAACACCCTAGAAGGAACTGCCTACTTCGGAAAGTCAGGAAAAAGTTTTCTTACTGAAAGTTTTCCACCACATTTTGTTCTATCAAGGTGGTTTTTACTTAAGAGGGCCAGATCATTAAATCTAGGTCCAGAGATGAAAAAATTGGTGGCTTTGTCATTTTCTGCAAGAGGAGATGTGCTTTGTGATTTTGCTGCCATGGAATTTGCTGATAAATTGTGCTCCAAAATATAAGCCTTCTTTTAAAATATTTTAACAAATATTTACATTTCTAATTCTTCTGTAACATGAACCAAGCATACAAACAAATTGGACAGAGATGACTGCAGACAGCCTGAAACATTTCCGGAAGTGTAAATTGTTCCCTTTATCTCAATGATGTGTTAACCTGAAACTTAATAATGACAATTTAAAATGCCAACAGTGTTAAATATTTCACTTTTGATCACTGAAACGTACAACTAATGTCCTTATCCCATGGTCCTATCCATCTGCTGTCCCAAACTTTCTCAGCTGACAAAACCTCTAGCTTCCCTCCGGAAGACCTTTACAAGACAGTTCTGCATTCTGAATAAAAAAGTTTGGCAGAAGATGAATTTGTTTTAAAATAGCAAATTAAACAAGAGGAATACTGTATCCAGTGTATAATTCATTTTTAGATTTAATTCAGTAAGACGGATTTTTAATATATCTTCTGCCTGTGTAACTTACATGCTTTATACTGCAGCATTTGAACTTGTTTGATTCAACAAAGGAGAGAAACAGTTTGGAGGGTGGGAAGGACATGGAGGGCAACTTAGTCAGGGCACAGAGCATTCAGAACTTGGGTGTGGCAGTTACTAGACATGCTCAGTAGCTGTTTCTGAATCTGTACAGAAACTTTTCATTGTGGTCAATCCACCTGGTGGGTCACCTTCCAAAAGCTGAGCCTATCAGAGCATCAGGTGGCTGAGGGGAAAGGGCAGGTTATGAATATATGAGTTAAAAAGGGAGCCCCGTGGACTCAGCAGCTGATCATCGTAAGACCATGAGATGTGCTGTGAGGGCTGCATCCCAGTCATGTAGAACTTTGGATGCAGAGCAATGCTATTCCAGCTTTACTTACTAGAGAAGCCCTCCATTGGGATGTTTTGTCCACTGTGGTCTGTGTCATAGACCCAGAGGGAGAGCTGGGGTGAGCATTTGTTGCCCTAGAGGCTACAGAGCCAGCAGAACTTACATTTAGCTATCAGCTAACTGCTCTAAACTGCAATTCTGCCTCAGTTAAAGAGAGAGAATGGAGCAGAGCTTAGTGCGGTGCGGGTTTTTAAATTCTTGCCTGACTTAGCTGCGCTTATGGGGAGAAGATGGTGCCCTATAGAATGAGAGCCTTACAGAGATCGAGGGAATGGATGATTTATATGCTGATCCCAATATCTGTACCATTTTGAACGCAAGCTGCAGATTTCTGTTTCCTCGGCAACTGAGGAGCAGTCAGCTGTTAACCCAAGGGCTGGAATAGGACTAGCTATGGAGATCCTCAGACTGTTTGCTGACAGGTTCTGAAGTGTTGAAAGACAGATGTTCCCACTCTTCTCAAGCTCTGGGGAGTCCAGGTGACACACACAACATATTATGGCCACACTACAGAGACATCTCTGAGAGAAAATCAGAGGGGAATGTATTTGTGTGCGCGTGCACTGAAGTGTAAGAGATATTATCTTGAAACTTTATATTTTAATGTATGTAACAGAAACAAAGTGGGGAACTCTGTAAAACAAACACCAATAGACTTACTAATAGCTTTTGTTTAAAGTTATTCATAGTTTTCCAAATACCATTTACCATATTTTATACTGTTTACTGTGTGCATTAAATGTTTTAGTAAGGCAGTGTATGGTAGTCTCTCTCTGAAATGGACTGGGAACTATTAATACCTGTTATCAGGGTTTCACATACAACAGTTGTAGCATTACCAGACAGAACTCTAATCTGTGCTTCAGCAAAGAGTTAAACTGAGGTGCAGGAAGAAGGGGAGTTTAACAGAGTTACATTTACTATTGTTTTACCATCCCACTAGTGCTGCACCAGAATGCTACAGCATCTATTGGCCTTGCCACAGAATGTGGTTAAAGGGTAATAGAAAACCAGCACGGAGGAACTAACTGCACACCACCACTGGGAGAAGCACTAGTGGACACCCCACCTCACCCCACCCCCAGGCCATATTCTAGGGATTGCAGTCTCATTGACAGGTTTCAGAGTAACAGACGTGTTAGTCTGTATTAGCAAAAAGAAAAGGAGTACTCGTGGCACCTTAGAGACTAATCAATTTATTTGAGCATAAGCTTTCGTGAGCTACAGCTCACTTCATCGGATGCATACTGTGGAAAATACAGAAGACGTTTGTTTTTATACACACAAATCATGAAAAAATGGGTGTTTAACACTACAAAAGGTTTTCTCTCCCCCCACACCCCACTCTCCTGCTGGTAATAGCTTATGTAAAGGGATCACTCTCCTTACAATGTGTATGATAATCAAGGTGGGCCATTTCCAGCACAAATCCAGGTTTTCTCATTGAATAGTGAATATCACAATGGGGAGGAGATATTCTATATGAGAGTAGTTCTCCACATTGTATTCCACAGACCACTTAGTCTACATTTCTTTTACAATGTCCTCTTTCAACTTCCTAGTCCACGGCCACTTGTTGCTTAGACATTTTATTCTACAAACCAGAAGAAAGGGATCTGCTGACCACACTTTGGGAGCCAATGTCCTAAATTATGACTTCCTGGGACAGGTCCTAGGGACCTCAAAGAGCATTGGTTTCAGGGAGCTGACACAGTGAACACATGGCTTTTCCAAGGATTATTTTTTGTCTGTCTGTTCAAGCAACTAAGTTAAACAGATTAAATATCATATTACCTGCAAGCAACTTTGTCACCTTGTTTTGTGTATGTCTCCCTCTCCTCCTCAATGTGATGTCATCTCCCTGCGTCCCATCACTGTATCTAACCTGGATTGTAAAATCCTTAGGACAGGGACTATTATTTATTTGGTTATGTCCCTGAAAGGTTCTTAAAAAATTGCTGCTGTTGTTATAAACATATGTTAATAATAAAAGTGGCTAAGCCTTTTTTGATCTACAACTCTGCAGATGGTGGATCTTGGGACAACAGCTATCTACATCCTTATATAGTAGTTATCTCTAGAAATAGCATGTGTAAATATACCTGTGTATTTCAGTTAGTTAAAAAAAAATTACATGAACTGTGGTGGTTAAATTAGAAGTAACTAAGTGATATTGTGGAAAATACAATAATGAACGCCAAATGGTAATGGACTTTAAACAGAAAAAAAAGTATTTTTGCATTCAATTGTTTAAAACAGATCAACTATATTATATAATGTCAAGTATCGGGGGTAGCCGTGTTAGTCTGTATCCACAAAAACACCAAGGAGTCCTTGTTGTTTATATTATATAATGCCATCTGGAAGTAAAAGCCATAATTGAGCATTGCTGCAAACTAGATCCATAGTGTCTGGAATATAGGACTGGAAGGATTTAGAGAGGTCACCTAGTCCAGTCCTCTCCACTCATGGCAGGACTAAGTTTTATCTAGACCAAGACTATCCATAAACTTAAAATGTACTTAAAAGGAAATCAGCTATTAATGCTTTCACATGAAGTGAGGTGCCATACCAAAATAATTCATTTTTAAAAAAACTGGTCAATCAAATTAGTGCAGGTGTAGAAGGTTATAACATATTTACATCTCACTAAGTGTGAAGAAGAAAAAAAAGGTGGGTGGGAGAGGAGGTAATAGTTTTATTTCATTAAGTCATTAATGAATTCATTAATCAGTTTTTTTTCCCCAAGCCTCAAACCTCTGAACACCATAAAGTAAACATGCTGAATGTCCCCTCATACTGCTCTGCTCTTGTAAAGAGGAAGGGGTACTTAACTGAAATATAGAAGAACCCTGTGTGCAACTG